GACAGTGGATGGGGTCGGCCACTCCCTAATGGCTTTCACTTTTTCCTCATCTACTTTCACACCTTCATTGCTTATAATAAATCCCAGGAATAATAAATTATCATTCATAAAKATGCATTTCTTCAAATTAGCATATAATTTATTTTCCCTCAATGTTTTCAGGACCTCCCTAATATGTCCCACATGCTCAGTGATACATTTGCTGTATATCAAAATATCATCAAAATAGRCTACCACAAATTTACCAATGAAGGGGCGCAATACCTGGTTCATCAACCTCATGAAAGTGCTAGGTGCGTTGGTTAGTCCAAAGGACATGACTAACCACTCGAATAAGCCATCTCTAGTCTTGAAGGCTGTCTTTCATTCATCTCCGGGACGGATCCTGATTTGATGATATCCACTCCTGAGATCTATTTTTGAGAAAACTACAGTTCCGCTTAGTTGGTCCAGCATGTCATCCAGCCTAGGAATGAGAAATTTGTACCCAATAGTAATCTTGTTATTGGCCCTGCTGTCGACACACATTCTCCAACTGCCATCGTTCTTAGGTGTAAGTAAGGCAGGTACTACACAAGGACTCATGATGATTTGAATGTGTCCCTTTTTCAATAATTCCTCTACCTTTTCCCGTAAAATTTCATTCTCCTTATGACTCATCCTGTAATGTGGGAGGTTAGGTAGATTAGCGCCTGGAACAAAATCAATATGGTGTTGTATATCTCTCATGGGAGGGAGTTCATTTGGTAACTCCTCTGGAACTACATCATTGAATTCATCTAGTAGTCCCTGTACTTCAGCTGGAATTCTATTTTCATCATTAACATCTTCTCATTTTACTACTAACAAATGTATTTTATGAGTATCCCTACATTCTTTAACAAATTCAGCATGATGATGGGTGATGGTAAGGAAATTCTTCTCATGTGTTTTCGGAACATTTGTAATATTTTTTTCTGCTATGGGTAACAAAGTATAAYGTGTACYYTCTTTTTCAAGTTGRTAGGTATTCTTCCTACCCATGTGCCTTGCATCTGTATCAAACTGCCAAGGCCTCCCTAATAAAATATGGCAAGCACCCATATCTACAATATCACAATATACTTCATCATGGTACTTACCAATTGAAAAAGGTACCTTGCAGCGTTCTTCCACTCGTATGCCACCTCCTTCCTTGGTCCACCCAATTGTGTATAGGTTGGGATGTTTTTCAGGAATCAGCTGTAATTGTTGGATGACATCCCTGCAAATAATATTTTCCTAACTGCCACTATCAATAATTAAATTAAATAACTTTCCCTTGATAGTACATCTGGTACGAAATAATCTGTGCCTTTGAGAAGTATCCTTATTTTTCTAGGACAACATTAATTTTCTTACCACACAAGTATACTCCTCATGTTCATATGGACCCTCTTCATCCTCCCCATCAGGTCCACAGTATACTTCCTCCTCAATATCTTCTTCMTCCTCCCTTTCTACCATATTAACTGCCTTCCTCCTGGGACAATCACTGGATCTATGTCCAACCTCATTACATTTAAAACATTTAATAGGAGCAGGCCTTGCATAAGGGTTATTGGGTTTAGGAGGGTTGGAAGGATTACCTCGAGTATGTCCTCCTTACATTTAAAACATTTAATAGGAGCAGGCCTTGCATAAGCGTTACTGAGTTTAGGAGGGTTGAAAGGATTACCTCGAGTAAGTCCTCTTGTAGTAGCCATATCGGCGTTACTTATGCTTGCCGGGTGAGAAGGTTGTACTGTCGGGACTTATTTGTTCCTGTCGACAGTTGCCGGTCTGTTGTCGCTCCCGTTGTACCGGCGGTAATTATCACTGCGTGCCTTGTCTTGGAACATTAATTCTGCTTTCAATGCTAGGTTCCTTGCTTCCTGCACACTGAGAACCATTTGTACACCAATTTTTTCCCTGATGGACGGTCTCAACCCGCTCAAATAACGGGTTGCCTGCTGGTTATCGCTTTCAGACAACTGATTTCTTTCTGTTAATCTTAAAAATTCTGATGTGTACTCATTAACACTACGTGAACCTGCGCACACCTCTGATAAGATTCAAACATATATTGTTCATAGTCAGGAGGTAAAAATCTACATTTGATTAATTGTTTCACGCGCCTCCAGGTTCGAACATGACCCCTTCCTTCTCTCATCCGTTCCCACCAAACAGATGCGCCTCCCTTTAATCGGAAAGCTACCAGTTTTACCCTTCGTTCCTCGGGTATCTCCATGTAATCAAAGAACCTATCGACTTCTGTGATCCAATCCAGAAGTCCCTCTATGCCAAGATCTCCACTAAAAGTAGGAATATCTACCTTGAGTTTAAATTCATCATTATTCCTACGGGGATTGAAATTACCTTGATTGAGCCAATTTCTACCGTTTCTGTCATTGCCGGGAAGAATTGGAGCACCACCAAATTCCAGATCATCATCACTGTCGTCGTCCAGGATTGGTCGTCGTAGCATGGTATGGACGGGTGGTCTGTTGTGGTCGTCTCCCTCGATTTGCTGTGAATGTTCCTGGTTCCGTGGAGCAACCTCCCGTAACAAGGTTCGCAGTTGTTTAGTCATCTCTGCCAACTGCTGCTCGATGTTACGTGTGGCTGTATGTTGTTCTTCAATTGCTCTCCAAACAGCTGGAAACCCCTGATCTTCGTCACGGGGTGGGTTGCGACTGCTACCGTCTGGGTTGGACATGACTGGGCGAATTCCCTGCTCTGATACCACCTGACGTAGCGTGGAAGCAATGAGAAACTAGGCTGGCTATGCAAGCATCGGGCGATCGCTAGCTTTTAGCGAAGAACACCGAATTCTCTAGGAGAGAGAAAAGGTGGCGAAAATAGGAAGAAGAGAACTTGAAGAAATTCTGAAAATATGAAATATGAATTGATGATTAATTTTGGGAAAATAACAGTATTTATAATACATTTGAAAATTGCAAAAGAACTAGGAAATAACAACTAGGATAGATCTAAATATCTAATCTGATAGGATCGAACTCTCCTTGGTTTGATCTCCCTAAATGCATGAATCTTGGATTATCTTGCTAATCTTGATGCTTCTTGGAGTCTTTCTTGATAATCTTGGAAGAGTCTTGTCTTATCTTGGAAGAGTCTTGCTTTATCTTGCTAATCTTGGATCAGTTCTTGCTTATCTTGAATTCTTAGACTTCTCATTATTTTGAATTGACCTTATCCTAGGAGCTGGCGCCCCTAGGGGTGAGATGGGCCTTGTGATGGGCCTCCACCAGCTGCGCTGCAACAGTCAAAGTCATATATGATAAACAAAAAATCTCATACAGATTCCTCTCTTCAAAGAAAAAAAAAATCCTTTTCTTAGGAAAAAGATGTTAGAAAAGGGTAATTTGAGTATTTTAAAAACTTAATAGGTAAACTCAAATGATACAAATATGACCCTTTTTTCATCTATTTTCTTGACAAAAGGTTAACAGAAGAGGTTATATTCTACACATGAAAGTTTAACTAGGAGGTATTTGAAAATTGAAGAAACCTTTGATGGTTCAGGTAGTAAAAGTGAAGTGATACACCCCCCTGTAGTTTGGTGGGGTTTTAGAAATTTACCCTTACTGAATCAAACACATGCATGTATGACACTCGGGATGAGTCCCTATCCCTATTGACCGGATTGGATCAGAGCGATGATCTGAAAAAGGGACTCCAGCGTAGTCGGCTTCTGGACCTACAGATTGGACCATTACTCCAGTCCAGTGAGCTTAGTAATGTTAACCATTGGACATAATTGGGTTAATTCTAGCTGTTTAATAGCCTTGCAGAAAATAGGGTGGCACTTGGTTTAGGTTTATTTATTGGTCTCAGATTGGGTTGAGATGATGGCATTCATAAAAGCCCATATTTCCAGTCAGTTCTCAACCTATAAGAAAATGTCAGAGGTTCCCATTTTCCATTGTAGATCGGTTCTGCTGATAGGTTACAAATTTCGTCCAGTCAGTTCTCAAAAAGATGCATCCTCTGCTGAACTCAATATCAATTGGGTAGATTGGGCACATTAGTGGGCCCACATAGAAGCCCAACTGGGGAACCTTCTATGGCAAATTTGAGATAAGTAGCATCAACTCGTACGGCCACTACGCATTGCAAACAAAAATTTCAAGAGCTAAAGAATAGAGGCCAAGTGGCATATGGCAACATGAGCACCCTTCTGCATTTTGGCTTGCCACTTGGCATGCAACAAATATCCTTGACAGCCATTTTTTTTCATTGCCTATTTACTAAAACACCCTCATTCTCTCTCTCTCTCTCTCTAAAGCAGGATTGGTAGTCTACAATAGGAGAGAGAGAGAGAGAGAGCAGTTTCTTCATTTTTAAACAATTTCTTCATTTATATGTTGTGAAGCTCTAAAGCAGGATTGGTAGTAATAATTCGTATTTAAATGCACCTGCAACATGTCAACTAACCATGCACTCCTCTACCTGCTAATATTTACTGCTGTCCTTTAAACCAACTCGGCTATATATCATTCACCTCTCTACCGTCCTTTGGAATAAACCCTTCACTCCTTAGCAACCATCTCTCAGTCTTCTTCATCTCTCTGTCTCCTTGTTGTCGTGTTGCAGGGCTGTTGAAGCCAACATGGAGTTGCCCAGACCTCAAAGCTCCTTCTTCATCTGGGTTTTGTTCATCATGATAGTTTCTCAGAACTTGGCCATTCCCGTTCTTTGCAGAAGCTTCACAGATCAAAAGAACTACTACCCACGTGACCCACACCACGGTACTCTCTCTCTCTCTCAGTTCTATTTTGTGTCTCTGTATACAGCAAGAAGACATAGAGAGGTGTTCTTTACATGCAAACCAAAGTTCTTTTCTAGTTTCTGAAACAGGCTTCCACTCTTCTGGTCGCATTTGTATTGTAATGGATAACCTGAAGTTCTCTACACCCCCTAACAGCCTAACGCTACTCCCCACATTGAGATGCAGGTTCTCACGGGACTCCTTCTCAAGGAACACCGTCACACGGTTCAGGTGGTAGCTATGGAGGAAGTACACCAACCCCATCTCATGGAAGCGGTGGAAGCTACAACCCACCTTCTGGTGGAGGTGGATATTACTCGCCCCCTGGACATTCTACGCCTGTCAACCCACCGTCAACTCCCACTCCGACCACTCCCACCCCAACCGTTCCTGGTATCTCTCCGCCGTTTGATCCGAATGCACCACCACCCTTCTTCACTGGAACTTGCAAGTAAGTAAATATGGAGATGGGTCTCTATATATCTTCCCTTCCTGGTTTTTTGTTTGCAGGGTCATTCTAATGCTAACACGGATGTATGCCTTAATTCTTGCAGTTACTGGGCTACCCACCCACAGTTGATATGGGGTCTGTTTGGCTGGTGGGGAACAGTAGCTGGGATATTCGGGACTCCAACTTTTGGGACGAGCCTTACCTTGCCACAGGCGCTCACTAATACACGTACTGATGGATATAGTGCACTTTACAGAGAAGGAACAGCTTCTCTGCTGAACTCCATGGTCAACAAGAGGTTCCCTTTCACAACTCAGCAGGTCAAGGATCACTTCGCAGCATCAGTAGTATCAGAGAGGAGTGCAGCAGATCAAGCCAAGATTTTCAAGCAAGCTAACGAGGGCCACCTTAAGCCCAGAGCTTGAAGGCTGAAGCCAATGCTTGGCTCTTACTTTCAAGTTCAATGGCTTATGTCCTGTTTAGTGCTTCCTTGGTTTCTCCTTCCATTTTTATTTGTTGAAGTTTCGTGTGTTTTCTTTGGTACTTCATTGTCACTAGCACGGATTCCTGGTTAGTTGTTGGTTTCTGAGATGATGTCTATTGTGTCATATTACATGCATTAAGACAATACCTTGGTTAATGCTAGCTGATATTTTCTGGGTTCATTATTTCTCAAGTTTGTGTTCTATATTTAAAATTTTAAATAGTATCTAAGAGTGTAAGATGCTCATGAGAAGCCATTAAAGATGGGTTGCTCCAATAAATTAAGTTCAGTAGATCGAACTCAAGTGGGTATTGAGAATCGCTTAAAGTTGAGAAGCTTTTTCTTAATTTTAAAATGAGAAAGAACTCAACAATTTCCCTTTTTTTATGGTGATTTTAGTACAAATTGAAGTCCAGTCCTGAGCTGGTTGGCATCGTCTGGTTTGGGCCAGGAAACGCTTTACTTAGGGTCAGAATCAGAACGTACCTGGTAATTAAATCAGGAAGCGCGTGCTTCACATCTCCTGTATGAATTCTTTTAATGGAAGACAGATAGACCAAGGATAGAAAGAATAAATGCTAACATTACAGAGCAGTACAAAATGCTGAATATACAGAAGATACAGTAAATACCATAGCTGTAATATCATGTATACACTACATTAATTTCTTACTATGTCAGATAAAGAAGTTCCACAATGAAGTATAGAGCTGTCACAAGAAGCAAGCTCATTCAGTAGGTTTCAGGTTAGCTTATTCACTCAGTAAATGCCCCTCCTCCCAACACACACACAAAGTAAACTTTTATTGTCTTGAAGCAGTGAAGCTTCACTTGCTTCTTGGGTTTCTAGTTTTCCAATCTTTCCTATATACACTTCTTTTTTTGTACAACTTTTCCTAATTCTGGTAGAAAAAATGTTTCTTAAACCCAGTTTCTCTACTCAACTTCAATGTTTTTTAAAGGCAACCCAGTGAAGAAATTGTCTGAGTGATTTGGCACAGTATTTAATGGAATTCTGCTCTGTATCATACCAAACGAAAGGAGACTGACCACTTGAAAAAGTTTTAAATTTGAAAAGAAACAGACTTGGAACAAGTGAACTTATGCGTCTAGACTCCAACGGACCAACCAAAAAAAGGGAATTGAGCATGGGCTGATAACTCTGCAGCATAGAAAGTGAGAATAGGCAGAACAGATTGTTATATTTTTGCTACATGGCTTTTGTGGCAGGCATAAACTAAATAAACTAGAAGTTTGCAACCACGGTTTGAGGTTTTTAGTTGTATTCTGTTATGCATTTTTAAAGGTAAAATAGAGGATTCGAGATTGATGGCTGACTACTACATGGTTCCTGATAGGACTGTAATCGGATCATATTCTTTAAAATCCGTATCCGATCCGATTTATTTAAAACTTGCATCCAAACCCTATTTATTTAAAACCTCAAATTCGAATTCACATCTTTACAGACTCAGATCGGTTTCAGGTTTAATCCGTCTCCACATTTATTTTCAACTTATATAAATAAATTAATATTATATACACTAAATTTATTGTAGATAATATATTTTTATAATTTTTAATATAATTATATAAAATTTACATATTAAAATCAATAAATATTATAATATATTTGGATTTGGATCTTGATTGGATCAGATAAAGTTAAATCCAAACTGATCTGATTATTTAATCGGATGGAGATTGCAAAATCCAAATCCAATCCGATTACATAAACACATCATCCAAATGATTAGGTTGCAGGTTTTCGAGTATCATTGATAGGCCTTAGTTCCTAAGGCTGCATTTGGAAACAATGCAAATGGAGTGTAAATCTTGGTTCAAGGTAAATTTGCACTCTAGTTCACTTTTGCATGTATTTGGCAATATAACATTGATATGCATTGACAAATGACAGACCATTGCATATTTACATTGATAATAAGATGTAAAAGTACGTCAATAAAAAAAATTGCATTCAAGTGCACTTTTGATAAAAAAAAAAAGCATATGCTTTATTAGAATTCATGTTTGTATCAATTACAGCTAAAAAGTCTTTTTGGTAAGAAGGTAAATTTGTCAATGCAAAACTAATCCAATTTTGCAATTTATATGAACCATTTTACACTATATATTTGCATTTATACTTATTTGCATTGTTTACAAACACAACCTAAGGTTCTCTCGTCTTGCCAATAGGCTGAATTGACCCAATGGTTATGAACATAGAGTTGTACTGACCCAGAACCAACCCTTTAATTATCTCATCCTTATCGGGCCTCTATACTATCCCTGAGCCCCTGGCCTGACCCAAACCTGATCCATTGAAAGGCATGGGTAAGAATACATCTTCAAGGTTCCTTTTTCTGGAACAAAGTGTCACCACTCGCCAGGAAGGTTCAAAGTATTGATACAGGGTGATACATCGATAGGGCACATCAGCTTGTATTTTTTTGGTTTTATTTTATTTTGAATCTAGTTCAGAGGGACCGGTTTAAGGCCAATCTACCCTCTGAACCAGTTGTCGACCCAAAACAGCCTCTGTAGGGGAATATCGAGAAGGCTCCGATGTGATACGTATCAGCTTACAAAGGTTCAAAATATTGATACTCCCAATACACCGGTAGGGGCATATCGGGCGAATTGATACATTTTTTTATTTTTTTATTTTTTTCAAAACCGGTTCAGAGGGGCCAATTTAAGACTCTTCCACCCCCTAAACCGGTCAGACCCCTGATACACCTACCATAAGGACATATCAGGGAGGTCCCGGAATGATACGTATTAACCGATACGGGCTGATACATATCAATACTTTAAACCTCATCGGCCAATACATACCAATACTTTGAACCTTGCTCACCAGTACACAAAGAAGTTGCATGTGTTTGTGTTCACGTGGCAACATAACATAGAAAATACCTAAATATTTTTTTCTCCATTTACATAATTTTAAACATTTACATGGTTCAAAAATGGGTAGATTAGGTTGGATTGCAACTTGCAACCCATGTGAAAATACAAAGTCATCAATGGATGCGGATTGGTCTTCAACGGGCATCCAAATCCCACCCAACCCATTCAATAGCCACCCCGCCTTAATCGAGATTTATTATTATTAGATTGAACCAGAGACCATTCATTGAAGCTTGTCCTCTAAACATGCCACCTGTAAAATTTGGATTGAATTGAATCAGTAGTAATAAAATTGATCTCTTAATTCATGAATCTACTGTTCAGGTGTTCCATACTGACTGTTGAAAAAGAACACGATTTAGTTCAAGATTCAACCCATTGGATTACTGTTTGGCAAGTCTTTTTAGTAAAATCTTTTGACAACTCAGATGATCAATGGGCTGATTTCGGGAAACTCCAAATGAAGCTTCTTGCGCCTTTTACGTTTTAATCTAGTGAGGAAAGATCCAAAATGATGCACGGAAAGACAGACGTCTGCCAAACGGTCTTCGGGCTGTCCAGATCTTATATCAAAAGCTCAATGTATCTATTAACTGTCAGAACTACGAGAAGATCTCAAAAAAACTTGCCAAACGAGCACTATCTTAGCCTACTATGGTCTATCGGGCTGTTAGATAGGAACTGATTTTCGGCCATTTTGGACTTTCTGCTCCCAAAAGCTTTTTGTTGTACGGATCTTTCTGGCTTCCTCATTTTCATTGCCAAAAAAGACCAAATTTTGGTCTTCTGAAAGACAACACAGAAAGACTTACGCCCCATCAATATTTTTCCCAAATGGTTGGCACTTGGCATATGCATTCAAATTTTAGTTTTCTTGTACTTCAAAATTATGAATGAAGAGTATGATGCAAGCACGACAATAGATTATATATATATATATGAAAATAACATGTCTGATTGCCTGCATTCTATAATAGATTAATTTGATAAAGTATGTACTTTATCATATAGTGATCATAAAACGTCTTAAAGCCAATGTCAGTGCATTATCAAATAGTAGTAATAACATAACTAGTGTAGGTTTCATATCACCTAGGTAAGAAAATCCTCTCACTGTCTTGCAGTCATAGCTTGCTTACCTTTGTGAGCTACTACGGCTCACAAAATGGTGTTAGATCGATTTTGAATGGACGCTTCCCCCTGCTGACTCTCTGAGATGTCAAGTGAAAAACAAAGAAAATTTAAGTATTAAAATATGTTGAGGAAATACTTGCAATATAGTCTGGCATACACTGTATGTGTGGCATGATAAAGGTGTCTAGACCCTAGTTGATAGGTTCCACCACCTAAAACTAGGCCAAAATGTCAGCTCAATTGGATCTTGCCGACCATCTAATCTATTGCAGAAGTTGATAACCAGTGTTAAATGTTCAACTCCTTCCGCTAGAGGCTGAATAAATCAATTTCCATTTCAATAAAAAAATGGCTGGTTAGCAAGAAAAAAACGATGAATAGTCTAGAATAAAGACAGTAATGGATCAGATGGTTGCAATCATCCAATCTGATAGTGCTTTCTGCATGTGGTGGTAACTGAATCTTTCCATCCTCTTGAGGGCACTGTTTTCACCAAAAACAGCATGGATATAGAAATGAGAGGTGCCAGAAGAGGCTGAGCTATGGTTTATGTTTCATACTAAAAATAGAACCAAGCCAGTTTCTGACCCTTGTACCACAAAGTCCCAATGCAAGTATTCATCATAAAAAAGCAATTTAAGATTGAGTTAAAGAGCTCACAGCAATCTCAATGAGCTCCTCTAGTAGCTCTTCCAAATGGCGCAGGGGCTATTGGAACAAATAAATATCAAGTGTCAATAAATGCTCTTGATAGCTTTGTCATGAATTAAAGACACTAGAATATCTAAAGCTGAATAAATGAAAAAAATGAAGAAAATAACAAATAAATTAATCTGTTGGCATGGAAACAAACAAACTCACCCACTGTGTTGGACCATCGACAGGCGCATTTAAAGGATCATCATGCACCTATTGCACCAAAGAAGCTTTTAGAAGTTTGTGCAAAACTGAACATAAGAGTTAAAAAAGACAAAAATGTCATTCTAATAAAAAGGTCTCAAGTCAGACAATCCAGCACTCCAAGACCAGATCTAGATTTCTTACTGAAGTTTGATTGGCAGCAGCAGATCCAACCAACTGCTAGCGGCTGGCATCGGGGGAGTTATCTTAAACAGAGAAGGTTCTGTTATCTGTGCTTTCAGTGGCCAATTGGTTCTGTAGATGCTTCTGAAGCTGAAATCAGAGCTTTGGTGATGGGTCTGAGAATGGTTAGATCTCTGCAGCTGAACTCTGTTCTCATTGAGGGGGATTTCAGAAATGTTATTAATTGGGCTTCCCACCCAGAATAGGGACCTTGGAGGTTGGGTCGTTTCCTCAATGAGATCTCCGAAATAACCTCTTCTCTGCACTGCGGCTTTAGATGGATTCCAAGGGAGCTGAACTCAATTGCGGATCTTTTGGCTAAATCTGGGGTGGATAGAATTTTTTTGTATAGTGCTAATAGTTTGCCCCCTTAAGTGGGGTGATTTTATAGTTGTGAGATCTTGATGGTTTTGTACATCTTCTCATGTACATCCCCCCTTGTCCCTTTTTGAATATAATGGTTATCCTTTCTCAAAAAAAAAAAAAAAAGGTCTCAAGTCCTCAGGATCATGATTTTAGTTGGGTAGCATGACAGTATGAGTCGCATGAATTTTGCTACTTGATTAACCACTTAAGAGGAAGCCTTCTGTTGTGAGAGAGGGGATAAGAGGTAGTACTATGACATTGATAAGAGACTACATGGCAGAAGCCAAACTAAATTGAATTTAGCAGAATTTTGAGTTAGGCCAGAAACTTCCACTGCGACATCACTTTGACCCATTTTCTTTTATCATGTTTTAATTCATGCCTCACTATTAGGGTAATCAAAATTCATTAACCACAGAAAGAGGCTGGTGAACACAATAGACACCAGCAACAACAAACCGGCTCTAACATACAACAACAGAACAAACACAGGACTCGTCAGAAAAGAAACCCATAAACCATAAACTAATTACAACTGACAACAGCTACATAATCACTCCCCATTGTCAACAGAGGGTTGAACAGAAATTCAAGGTGGAGGGAGATCAGTCCACAAAACATAAACCACGAGACCTTTTACTGCACTATTAGGGTAATTGAAATTCATTAACCACATAAGGAGGCTGATGAACACAATAGACACCAGCAACAAACCAACGGACTCTAACACCCAACAACAGAACAAACACAAGACTGTTTTAAGCACTCCAACCATTCTCTTCTTTCAAAGCTCCCTCCCACGAGTGCTCCTTCTCTATCTCTCTTCTCTTTTTATTTTCTGTTCAAAACCTAAAGAGTCTATATAGTCTTGTACGAATCAAAGCCAAATTTAGGGCTTCTCATGTGAGTTTGATCCAGCCGACCACATGAGAACTGCCTAGAGCTGGAAGAATAGAGAAAGCTCCCTTTGGCTGATTCTTGGAGGTTATCTACAGCAGCAGTCCAAAGATTGGATCAGATCTTTGACAACCAGGAAGAATCAGAGGAAGAGAAGAGGATCAAGTCAAGTCTTGATCAAGATTAAAGGTGGTGATCAAGGTTTCAGAAGAATTCTGGTTCAGGATCGGTTTCTTCTATTCATGACTGAAGCTGATTATCAAGATCAGAGTTTCTCAGAATTTTCTGGTAAGTTTTGAAGCCTTACCAAAAATCAGCAGCAAGGATCTCTTGATATAAGAGGTACGGTTAAGAAAAAAACCCTTACTTTCTGCATTTTTCCCTCAAGTTTCAGGGCTGTTATTGCTTCAGGGAGGTAATCAGATTTGTCTCCCTTGATTTTTCCTGTGCTCTTTGGAAGATCCAGTAGTTCTTTTTTAACAGGATTGATACAGTTCAGTCTCAATAGGCTGACTGTCACAAAATTAGGGTTTCTGAATCAGAACCCTCCTGTTATCTGCTACAGACCCAGTAGGCCGATTGGTACAGTAATTAGAAAGCATTCTAATGGAGTTTAAAAGCCAAGGGGAGGGTGTTTTGGGGGCTGGTTCAGGCAGCATGGTTGAAAACACCTTCACAATTAAAACTGTAAAGTTTGATGGTACAAACTACTTAGAGTGGGCCCAATCAGCCATGATGGCCATTGGGGGAAGAGGAAAGCTGAACTATTTGTTCGGAGATGTGAAGGAACCAACCAAGGAGGATCCCACTTATGCTAAGTGGATTCATGAAAATTATTTGGTGATGGCATGGCTATGCAACTCTATGCAGCCACACATCAGCCGAAATTACTTATGGGCAAAAACAGCTAAAGAAATTTGGGATGTTGTGAAAGAAACCTACTCTCGGCCCCTTAATGTTGCTAGGGCTTATGAGTTGAAATGTGAGGTCAAAAATCTTAGACAAGGGGAGAAACAGGTCTCTGCTTATTTCTTAACCCTAAAATCCCTGTGGCATGAGATTGACCACCTTGAGACAATTGAATGGGAGAGTCAGAAAGATGCACAGACTTACAGAAAGAAGATTGAAACTAACAGAGTATTTGAGTTCTTGGCTGGTCTAAATTCTAAATATGATATTGTAAGACAGCAACTACTGACAAGAGAAAGTGTGACTCTATCTCAAGCCTATTCCCTAGTGCACAATGAAGAGATTATGAGAATGGTTATGTTACACCGGCAGCCTTTCGAATCTGCCCTAGCAGCAGTTAAACCCAAGCCAGGGGGAGATAAGGAAAGGGATATGAAGAAAGAGGCTAAAAAGGACCTAGTTTGTGAACATTGCATCCACATCTAGTGCCAGCAAAACTCAGAAACAAAAAGGGTAATGCCAATATGGCTGTCAACGGTAATAGTGCAGCATCAACGGCTTCAAGAGGTACCCCTCTTGATACCCTAATTGTTGCCCGAGCTGCTCTGACACAATTAGAAAGTGAAGTCAAAAATTCAGTATCATCTCCTCAGCCATCATTAGCTCCTTCAACCTCATCTTTTGCTCAATAAGGTAATCAGGCCTCAGCTTATCAATGCTTCAACTCCAGGTAATACAGAACATTCTTGGATAATAGATTCAAGAGCATTTGACCATATGACTGGCTTACCATCACTATTCTCTACCTATTATTTATCTTCTAGTAAAGACAGTGTCCATTGCGGATGGATCCCTTGTTCCTATTTCTGGCAAAGGAGACATTAAGTTGTCTGATGCAATTTCCCTATCCTCTGTCCTGCATGTTCCTAAGCTTAATACTAACTTGCTCTCAGTTAGTAGCATTACAAAAGGGCAGAAATGTTCAGTAACCTTTTTTCCTGATCGATGTGTTTTTCAGGATCTGGAAACAAGGAAGGTGATTGGGGCTGGCTGTGAGACAAATGGCATCTACCTACTTGGAGGAAGTGCTCATCAGGAAGATAGTGAAACTAAGAAATCCTTTGTTTCTCAGTCTGTTGATCAGGTGATGCTTTGGCATAATAGATTGGGCCATTTATCCTTTCAGGCTTTGAAAAGTTTGTTTCCCAGTACATTTGAATCTGTCCAGATGCCTAGTTTGAAATGTGAAAGTTGTGAGCTTGCAAAACATTGCAGGACTACCTATTCATTAAGTAATAACAGAAGCAATATTCCTTTTAAAATTGTTCATACTAATGTTTAGGGACCCTATCATACCACAGCCATGGGGGTACAGATATTTCCTATTATTTGTTGATGATTACACTCGATTTTCTTGGGTTTACCTTATGCGTTTTCGAGATGAGGTTCCAGCACTAACCCGGATCTTTCATCAAATGATTTTAACCCAATTTGGGGTCAAAATTAAAATTTTTAGATCAGATAATGCAAAAGAATATTTTGCAAACCCATTAGCCTCCTACATGCTTGATCATGGGATTATCCATCAGAGTACCTACCCACATACAACACAGCAGAATGGGGTTGCTGAAAGAAAGAATAGACACATATTGGAGGTAGCCAGAGGCATTATGTTTACCTCAAATGTGCCTATACGTTTCTGGGGGATGTTGTTTATCTCATCAATAGGATTCCCTCATGGGTTCTTGACATGAAAATCCATTTACCCTTTTATACCTTGAGAAAGAATTGTTTACCATTCCCCTCAAAACCTTTGGGTGCACTTGCTTCGTTCAAATCCAAGGCCTTCATCGTTCCAAATTTGATCCCAAGGCCTCCAAATGTATTTTCCTTGGTTATGCCCGAACTCAAAAGGGATATTGCTGTTATGAACTGACTTCTGGAAATAGATTTGTCTCAATGGATGTCACCTTCTTTGAGGATTAACCCTATTATCCAAGAGTTTATCCTCAGGGGGAGAATAGTGAAGCCAGGAGTAGCTCATCGGAAGTTCCTTTTCCAATCCCATTAAGTGAAGGATGTAATGGGGAAGGATGTCAAAGGTGCAAGGATGTGAGAGTCTATCACAGACGATGGAGACAGGTCAATTTTGGACATCAGCAGTGCAAGCCAGTCCCAGTCCCCACTACAGATCCAGATCCAGGTACCATAGTAGCCCTAGTTCCTTTTGCAGATCTAGATCCAAGTACCACAGCAGCCCCTGTTCCTTCTGCAGATCCAGATCTAGGTACCACGGATACTACAAATGAGAGACATTCAACCATGGAGCCTTCACCTTCATTCAGTGACCTTGATCTCCCCATAGCAGTCCGTAAAGGCAAACGCCGTTGCACCACAACTCACTGCATTTCTCAGTTCCTATCCTATGATCATTTGTCTCCCTCCTACAAGTCTTTTCTCGCATCCATTGCCGATATTACCATTCCCAAAACAATACAGGAAGCATTGGAAGTACCAGAATGGAAAGATGCAATAAAAGTATAAATGGGTGCCCTCATCAGAAACAATACGTGGGAGATAGTTGATCAACCTAAAGAAAAGAAACCGGTTGGATGTAGATGGGTATTCGCTGTGAAACATAATGTTGATGGGTT